GGGCGGCCGGGGCCGGGGAGCGGGGCCCTGGGTGGGGACACGTGAGCTACTGGCCAAGGAGGGAGCAGCCCAGCCTCACCGCCCACCTGGCAGGACCTGAGCTTCAACAGCTTCGAGCAGCTGTGCATCAACTATGCAAACGAGAACCTTCAGTACCTTTTCAACAAGATCATCTTCCAGGAGGAGCAGGTGTGCGGAGCCTCCCTTAGCAGTCCTGTCCCCTCCTGACTGGCCAGTGGGCCTCCTTGGAGCCAGACAGGATAATGCTGGCTCTTTAAGGGCAAACCGGGGGTGATCAGGCGGAGCGCCGGGAAAGGCATTCTAAGCCAAGGACCAGCACCTGTGAAGGCCTGTGCTCTGGACGGGGAAGATGCTGGGTGCTGAGCCGACAAAAGCCCTCTTGTGGTGGGGGTGGGGGTCCTCCCCTGCTTCAGGGCTGTCCCAGGCAGAGGGTGGAACAGGGCTCAGAGATGGTTCGTGTTGCCGTCCTAGGGAGTGAGCTTCCTGTGCAGGCAGAGGTGCCCCTGGCCAGGCCCCTTCAGATGGATCCCGCCTGGGAGGCAGGGTGGATGGGGCCTGGGCAGGGTGAGGAGGCTGAGCGCCTGACGCCCGCAGGAGGAGTACATCCGGGAACAGATCGACTGGCAGGAGATCACCTTTGCCGACAATCAGCCGTGCATCAACCTCATCTCACTTAAGCCCTATGGTATCCTGCGCATCCTCGATGACCAGTGTTGCTTTCCCCAGGTGAGCCACGGGCGCTGTGTGAGCCTGGTCAGGTCGCTCAGCGTCTCTGAGCCTCACGTCCCCATCAGGCCTAGGTCCTGCCTTCTCTGCTCTGGCCTGGGGGACAGGAGCTCGGGACACCCAACCTGCCATTCACGACCTGGGTGATGGAGGCTGGATAGGGGGCTGTGGGTGTCCAGAGGAGGGTACCAGCCTGGGAAGTCACAGAAGGCTTCCCGGAGGAGGTGACCTTGAGGTTGGGCCTCAAACTCTGATTGGAAGACACAAGTGCGGGGGGGGGGGGTCTACTTAAGCCTCCCCACCCAGGACAGTGGGCAGCCCGAGGCGGCTGTGATTTGCTCCTTCCCAGCGCTTGCCGGGAAGCAGTCCAGCCTGGAGGGTCTGCCACCAGCCCCGGAACAGGGTGCCCAGGTCCCCTGCCCACCGTCTGACCCCCGCCTGCCCACAGGCCACAGACCACACGTTTCTGCAGAAGTGCCATTACCACCACGGCGCGAACCCGCTCTACTCCAAGCCCAAGATGCCGCTGCCCGAGTTCACCATCAAGCACTACGCAGGCAAAGTCACCTATCAGGTGAGACCCAGGACAGCCTGCACGGCCTCTGGTGCCTCTGGCCCCCTGCTGATCCTCAGCTGTGTGACCTCAGGCAAATTGCCTAACCTCTCTGGGCTTATCTCTAGGACATCTGGAAAATGGGGATAATGATAGTGCCGGTCTCAAGTGGTGAGTGTGGAAGCCTAGGGCTGCGGTGGGTGATAAAGAGTAGCTGTTATCAGGGCGCCTGGGTGGCTCAGTCGTTAAGCGTCTGCCTTCGGCTCAGGTCATGATCCTGGGGTCCTGGGATCGAGCCCCGCATCGGGCTCCCTGCTCCACGGGAAGCCTGCTTCTCCCTCTCCCACTCCGCCTGCTTGTGTTGCTGCTCTCACTATCTCTCTCTCTCTGTCAAATAAATAAATAAAATCTTTAAAAAAAAATAAAAATAAAAATAAAAAAAGAGTAGCTGTTATCAGTCATGATGCAGTCGCTCTGTTATCTCAGACACATTCCTGCCCTGGAGGTGTCTCAGGCCAGGATTCCAAGCTTCTGTCTCCACTTAGGTCTTGTTTTTCTCATCTGTAGGATAGACACAGGACAGTGTCCTCTACTGAGGATGGGGGCCAAGACCCAGACTGGTTATGTGCCCCCCTCCGCAGAGGATGGGAAGGGTAGTGGGGGCAGAAGGGGAGGGGACCACAGCAGGGAGAAGGGTCCAGTACCTCCTAGGACAGATTGGGAGATAGAGGCCTAGTAGGGGCAGGGCCAGGGTCCCCCAGGGGCTGGGAGCCCCTGACCCGCTATAGGGAGGAAGGGAGGTAGGAAGGGAGCAGACAGGCTGATGCACACTGGGGCATGTTATCCCCCTGCCCTGTCCCCCAGGCTGCGTGGGCTCCAACCCAAGCTGCCCCCTTGTTCCCCCTTTGCAGGTGCACAAGTTCCTAGACAAGAACCATGACCAGGTGCGCCAGGATGTGCTGGATCTCTTTGTGCGGAGCCGGACACGGGTAAGCAAGCCTCGTCTCCTGCTACTCTGCACCCCCCCTCCCCGAGCACCCAGACCACCATCAGGCCCCTCTCACAGTCCAGGAAATGGGGAGGTCCCCTAGGTACCCAGGTGCTGGTCCTGCCTCTGGTGCACCCTAGCTCCAGCCAGGCTCTGACCCTGATCTCAACCCTAACCCAGAGTCTTGCCTTGCTCTGTACTTTCTCCCATTTCTGGTCCTGCCCCTTGAAGGGTCGTGCCCCTGGCCAGCCCCATTGGATCGCCCTGCCTGTCCCCTGGCCCATCCTGGCCCTGCCCACCCAGCCGTGCCCTGCCCTATCCCCTCACTGAGCAGTTCTCCCAAATAGCCCTGTTGTTCTCAGTCACTCACCCCATTCTCTGGGCCTCCGCCTTCTTCTCTGTCAAATGGGCACCCTCCTGAGGTCATTGCCAGAGTTCATGACCATGTGTGCAGGAGGCCACCTTGGGGCCAGGTGCACAGTCAGACTGAAGAAAAAAAGTCAGCCCGACCATGAGACAGGTCCCTTGGAAGGTGCTGTGCACCCTGACTTGAGAGGTGTGTAATCCAAGAGGACAGCGGCCTTGCAGAGAGAGGGCAGGGGCCCAGGGAGGTAGTTTTCTTATCCTTCTGGTTTGGAGATTTGACTCTTTTTGTTTTTAATGCCTTTTGTCCCCACCCCCCCCCCCCCCCGCCCGCCAACCCCCCCCGCGCCGGCGACAGAACCTAAGGAGGACCTTTTTTTGAAAAGTCACGTCTGACGTCCGGGCCAGCCCCGGGCCAACCTCTGTTTCCTCGTTTCTGTCTCTGGGCCCCCTGCCCCCCTGTGTCTTCCTGTCTTTTGGCGCCTCGACCACTGACCCGTCCTCAGGTGGTGGCACACCTCTTCTCCAGCCACACCCCACAGGCTGCCCCTCAGCGCCTGGGCAAGAACAGCTCCATCACCCGGCTCCACAAGGCACACACAGTGGCCGCTAAGTTCCAACAGTCACTCCTGGATCTGGTGGAAAAGATGGAGAGGTGAGCACGCAGGTGGGTGGGCACCCAGCCTCACCTCTGACCCACCCCACAACCTGCAGGGGTAAGCACTTCCCTTCTCTGGGGCCTCACACCGCCCTCCTCCCGCCCCTGTGCAGGTGTAACCCCTTGTTCGTACGTTGCCTGAAGCCCAACCACAAGAAGGTATGTGATGGCTGAGGTCCCTGGGAGAGTCAAATCCTCTCCCCCGTGCTGTGTGACCTGGAGCAAGTGGCTGTGCCTCTCTGGGCCTCCATCTGCCCAGCCCACTGTGGGGACTGTTTGTCATTGCTAGTGCCCGTGGCACATGGGTGGGCCAGTGTGCAAACTCCCTATCTGGGCCCTCCTTGCAGGAGCCGGGCCTCTTTGAGCCAGATGTGGTAATGGCGCAGTTACGCTATTCGGGGGTGCTGGAGACTGTGCGAATCCGCAAGGAGGGCTTTCCAGTGCGCCTGCCCTTCCAGGTGTTCATCGACAGGTACCGCAGTCAGCGTGGTTCCTGAGCTCCACAGATCCTTACCCAGCTCCCCCATGGCCCCAGGAATACAGAACCCGGGCAGGACAGAGCTTGCCATGCACAGTTGCTCAGGTTGTGTACTACACAAGATCATTACGTGCTGGCTGTCACAGAGCAGATCTATTTTTTGTTCCGCATTTTTTCGTACTTTTATTGTGTGTGTGTGTGTGTGTGTGTGTGTGTGTGTGTGTGTAGAGATTCCAGAGGAGTAACTTTAAGCTGTTATGACAAGTTTCCAGCAGATGGCAGTAAAGTGTCTTATTCAACTGAAACCACAGGTACCGCTGTCTAGTGGCCCTCAAACACGATCTGCCAGCCAGTGGGGACATGTGCGTGTCGCTGCTGAGCCGCCTGTGCATGGTCATGCCAAATATGTACCGCGTCGGTGTCAGCAAGGTGAGTCCCAGCCCACCTGCGGCCCCTGGAAGCCTCAAGTTCAGGGGCTTCAGAACTCGAGCCGGGGCAATGAGAAATGCCCCGACTAAAGACTACGGGCCCAGAGGCAGTGCAGTGGAGCTTGGCCAGTGGGAGGCTAGTCCTGTCTCCGGCCCTTTGCTCGGGCCGCTCCCACTGCCTAGTTCCCCGTCGCTGCTCCTCCCACCTCTGGGCGCTCAGCCCGTCCGTGCCTCACCGCCCGCCTCCCCTCCTCAGCTGTTCCTCAAGGAGCACCTGCACCAGCTGCTGGAGAGCATGCGAGAGCGCGTCCTGCACCTGGCAGCCCTCACGCTTCAGCGCTGCTTCCGAGGTTTCCTCATCCGACGGCGGTTCCGCTCACTGCGCCGCAAGATCATCCTGCTGCAGAGCCAGGCCCGGGGCTACCTGGCCAGGTGCGGGGCCCACGTGGGGCAGGACTCGCAGGCCAGGCCTGAGCTGGGGTACTAAGCTCCCCATCCCGGAGGCGTGCAAGCTGAGAGTGGGGCCTCTGCAGGAAGGATGTTCGGACTCTCTCTGTCTCTGCGTTCGGCTGTCCTTCTCACCTAAGCCCCTGGCCCTTGTGATCTTTCCAGCCAAGAGGGGCCCCAGCCGGCATCCTAGGAGCCCTGGGACGACAAGCCGATGGGATGCACGTGCTCCAGGCCCTGCCACTTAATTTGCTGTGTGGCCTTGGCCAAGTCACTGCCCCTCTCTGAGCTCCACAGGGCTCCCACAGTGAACCCTGGGTGCTGATACCCAGGCCAGGCTGGCGTGGGCATCTCTGCACCTTGGCCACCCTGTGATCCCAACCCCTGCCCTCCCCACCCGCCCCCCCAGACACTTCTTTCCACCCCACCCTCAGGCAGCGGTATCAGCAGATGAGGAGAAATCTGGTGAAGTTCCGGTCCCTGGTGCGCACGTACATGAACCACCGGCATTACCTCAAGGTGCAGGCCTACCCCTCGCCCTGCTCCTGGGAGCCAGGCGGCAGGGGGAGGGGGGAGGCACTTAGCATCCAGGAGGGGCCTCTTGGCCTCCCACCGTCTTGGGTTCCAGTCCCCACTCTGCCACTCACTAGCTGTGACCTTGGCCTTCCCTATCCTCACTTTCCCCGCCTACCCCCTGGGGTTGTGGAGGGGATTCTGCGAGAGGTTGCATGTGAAGGATTTGGCCTGTGCTGGGTTCACGGCGGGGCCTTCAGCAGTCGGGTATGATGGAATTTGTCGACCTGAGTAGCACTAGATCTATGGTTTTGCTCTTACCATAATGCCCATCTTGGTCTGTTGTCATATAAACCAACCACCAGAAAGACAAATGTAGTCCCCAAAGCCTTGAAGAAACCCCTGGCTTCTACTGAAGGCTTTGTGGAGCCACAGAGGAGGGGACTCCGTCACACTGCCCAGAAATCCCCCTGTATTTCCCTTTCCCCGAAGTATTACTCCCTCTGCCTCGTGCCTCTCTTCCTCGATCTTTCTCCCTCCCCTTCCTGTTTATCTGGCCATATCTTTGCCTCCTCTCTGCCGCCTGGGAGGCCTTGTGCAAGCCGGCTCGAGCTGTCTCCCCCCACCCCCGGGCCTGGGGCCTGCCGTCACCTCTGCCCACCATTCCCCCGCCTTGACCATCTGCTCTCCTGCAGCTGAGGGCAGAGCGGAGGCTCCGGGCGGAGGAGGCGCGGCTCCGGGAGCTGGAGGTGGGTGCAGGTGCTGGGCGGCAGCAGGGGCAAGAAGGGAGGCTGGCAGACGGGACTTGTGGCAGGCCTGCCCCTCACTCAGCGCTGTCCCTCCAGGAGCTGAGCAAGCGGGAGGTAGTGGCCGTGGGGCACCTGGAGGTACCCGCTGAGCTGGCGGGACTCTTGCAAGCTGTGGCAGGTCCGTGAGTGCTGGACGCTGTGCTGGGGGTGGGGCGTGGGCAGGAGTGGGAGTCTGGCCCTCACGCCCCCCCGCCTCCCCACAGGCCTCAGACCGGCCCGGGTGCCCCGGGTGGCCCCTGTGCGGACCCCCCGGCTCCAGGCCGAGCCCCGTGTCACACTGCCCCTGGACATCAACAACTACCCCATGGCCAAGTTTGTCCGATGCCACTTTAAGGTAAAGGCCGGCGTGGACCCACGCGGCCCTGGCCAGTGGGCACTGACCGATGAGAACTGATACTGCTGTCAGCCTGGGCCAGGCTCCTGGCCATGCCCTGTGCTGTGGGGGGTATGAGCCCCTGAGGTGCTGGATCATGAGGAGCCTGGGGGCTCCAGGGGAGGGCTGGACGGAAGTGGGGGGCCCTCGGGGGCTTAGGAAGTGGCCGTTTGCCCACCAGTTGGAACCATTTCAGAAATTTCCCAACCGGTCGAGCCACAGGACATCATCCCGGCTCTCATTCTGGGCTCTCCAGGGGGCTCAGATGGTCTCCACCCCCAGCCTGCTGACGGCCAGTGTCTGCCCCCCTTCAGGCCTCAGTATCCCCATCCAGCCGCTGGGGAAAGGAACCCTTACCTCTCTGGCTCTGCCCCTTCCTGGCACAGAGCAGTGGATCCAGATGTGCCCACGAGCCCCGGCTCTGGCCCCACGCCCCTGCCCTGTGCCCGCAGGAACCTGCCTTGGGGATGCTGACCGTGCCCCTGAGGACACCCCTCATGCAGCTGCCGGCAGAATGCCATGCGGAAGCCGTGAGCGTCTTTAAGTTGGTAAGGGTCCGCCAGGCCATCTTGGAAGTCTTAGGCCGTGAGGCTCCTTGTCTTGCCCTCCTGGGTCGTCCACTAGCCCAGGCCATTTAGCCCAGCCCTCCTCTTTGGAGGAAAGACTTCTGGTGAGGGTGGGGGTGGGGGGATGGAATCTGGGCCCCTCTCTGGGCTAGGGCTAATCCCACTTTGAGGATTGGAAGCCTTTCTTCTCCCAGCCTTCTTCCTGGCAAAGAGGCTGCCCCAGAGCCTCTGTGGAGCTTCCCAGCGACACCAAGAATAGATCCAGGTCCTCTGCTCGAGGACTTCCTAGTCCGAAGGGGGAGGCAGAGCAGACCTGACCAGTGACGACTAGTGTGGACAGAGGTTAGGCACGGAGGCCAGGAAGTCTAACTGGACCCCTAATCCAGCTCTGGACAGAATCAGAGAGGGCTTCCTGGTGGGAGGGTGGACATTTGAGCTAGACTGGAAGGAGTCAGAATCTGCTAACCAAGACAGATGGAAAAGGCACAGAGAGAAGAAAAAGTTGATGGAGTCAGAACACATCAATTGATGAAAGTCAGAAGGGCGGAAGCAAGAGGGGGTCCCAAGGCCCTGTCTGCCAGATCCAGAACTTGGATTTCATTCCGTGGGCCCTGGGGAGCCAAGGAAGGTGCTTCTGAGGGAGGGGTGTGATCAGACATGAATGTTAAAAAGCACTCTCTGGGGCCTGGATGGAGCAGGAGGTGAGGGGCTGGCTCGAGGCCAGGGATGCAGGGAGGGGCTGGGGCTGTATGGGGAGCACTCGTGGAAGCTTCGTGAGCAGGAGAGAAAAGTCAGTATGCACTTTGGATCTTGACTTTTCTCATAGTTGGCACAGCCCACCTGGTCATTTGGCACAGGGCATGGCAGTTTTATTGTAACCTGGGGGGGCTGTTATATGACCTTTCCTGGGACACGTGGGAAGGACGTGAGAGGGGTGCATGTTGGGGGTGGTGGGGCCCTGGCAGGAACCACCTTCCAAGAGGCCCAGGAGAGTCTGTTTGTGGCCCAGATCCTGCGTTTCATGGGCGACCCCCACCTGTACGGCGCCCAGGAAAACGTCTTCGGGAACTACATTGTGCAGAAGGGGCTGGCGGTGCCCAAACTGCGGGATGAGATCCTGGCGCAGCTGGTCAACCAGGTGTGGCGCAACCCCAATGCCCACAATGCCGAGCGCGGCTGGCTCTTGCTGGCTGCCTGCCTCAGCGGCTTTGCACCTTCCTCGCACCTCAGCAAGTACCTGCTCAAGTGAGTGGAACCGGCCAGGGCCAGGGCCCGAGGATGGTGACACTGGCGTGAGGCCACGCCCCCCACCCCGGGCGGGATGTCAGAGGTCGGGCCAGGAGTGAGGTCTCTGTGCTTGCAAGCTCGGGCACCGGGGCTGGTCAGGGGCTGGTCTCTCCGTCTCCCCCGGGCTCAGAGCAAGAAACAAGGGGGCAGGTCTTCTCTCTGGAGGGTAGGGCTCAGGAAAAAACTTGGTAAAGGACTTGCAGAGCTCAGAGGACGGCCCACACCAGGGTCTGGGGAATTTGGGAAAAAGGCGCTGATCTCTCACGTCATGGGAGTAGAGCCAGGTGGTTAGGAGTATAGACTCTGGACGCGAGACGGTCTGGGTTCAAATCCCAGCTCAACCTCTAAAATGCCGGAAGTGCTATGCGAGTCTAGCTCTTGTCAGCATCTTGATGATATGGATGATGACGATGATGATGTCCCCATGCTGGGTGAGAAGGGTGATCTGCAAAAGAAAGGGCTCAGGGGCGCCTGGGTGGCTCAGTTGGTTGGGCGACTGCCTTCGGCTCAGGTCATGATCCTGGAGTCCCGGGATCGAGTCCCGCATCGGGCTCCCTGCTCGGCGGGGAGTCTGCTTCTCCCTCTGACCCTCCTCCCTCTCATGCTCTCTGTCTCTCATTCTCTCTGTCTCAAATAAATAAATAAATAAATAAATAAAAGAAAGGGCTCAGGCAGGCCCTGGGTGCAAAGCCCAGCTCTGATACTTCCCTGCTGTGTGACCTGGGGCAAGTCACTGCCCTTCTCTGAGTCTCTTTCCTCACCTGTAAATTAGGATCGGTAACAGCGGGGCTGTGAGCCTCAGAGTGTCCAGAACGTCATCTGGGCCCTGTGCAGTAGGTGGGCAGCTCAGTGGGTCAGTCTTGTGAATCTGGGGCAGCAGGTTAGGACCACTGCCTTCCTGTCTGGGGCTTCCTGTGGGGACAGCTCTGGGTTCCCTCTTGCGGCCACTGGCCACCATGGGCCTGCTCCACTGTTGCTCCAGCAGCAGGGAGTGAGCCAGGGAGCCCGGTATGTGGAGTACCTGCCCCTGGCGGGCATCAGTCTTGTTGCTCTTGGGCCAAGTTGAACCCTCATGTCCATCTCTTGTATAGATGAGAAAGTGGAGGCAGGCTCAGAGGGGGCAAATGACCCCCTGGGAGGCTTGGTGAAGGGATGGAAAGCAGAGTCTTCCAGAGTCCAAGTTCTTGCCCATACCCTGCTGCAGCCCCCACCTTGTCAATGACATTTTGCTCCAACAAGCTTTGGTGGGCCTTCCTGGAACCTCTTTGGCTTCTCCTTGGACCTCTGTGGTGGCTTGAGATACTTCTCGCTAGCCTGGGACCCTTTCAGCTTAGTCCTGGGACTCTGGGATAGCCTGAGCTCTTTTGTTTTAGTCTAGCCTCAGAACTCTGGGGCTCACCTGAGGCCCTTTCAGCCTAGTCTCGGACCTCTGGGCTCTCCCGGGACCCCTTCAGTATCATCCCAGAGCTCTGGACTATAGCCTGGGACCCTCCCGAGCTAGCCTCAGAGGTAGGGCCTTCTCAGCTTGACCTTAGAGCTCTGGGCTAGCCTGGGCCTCCCTCAGACGAGACTTAGAATCCCCCTCTATCGAGGGCTAGCCACAGATCCCTCTTCATCCTGGCTCCAACTCCCGCCTGTCAGGTTTGTGTCTGATTACGGGCAGAATGGCTTCCAGGCTGTGTGTCAGCACCGTCTCATGCAGGCCATGGGCCGGGCCCAACAGCAGGGCTCCGGGGCTGCCCGCACCTTCCCCCCGACCCAGCTCGAGTGGAGAGCAACCCAGGAGAAGGCCAGCATGGCGCTGGATGTGGGCTGCTTCAATGGTGAGCTGTCCTCTCTCCACCGCGTGCTGCCTTCCCTCCTCCCTCTGTCCCTCACGGAGGGGCAGCTGGAGTCGGCAGGCCCCAGTATGCCCGGGGGGGTCAGGAGAAGCTGGGGAGGGGCCCTCTGGGTGTGGCTCAGGAAAGAGGTCAGCATGTGGGGGTGGGGGCTGGACCTGGAATGGGGGAAGGGAGCTGGGGCAGGGAGGGTGCAGATCCAGGGTCCAGGACAAGAGTGGCGGAGCCTGAGAACGCGGTGCAGGCAGGGGAGTAGCAGGACTAGGGCCGCAGATGCATCCTGGCTGAGCCCAGCACCTGCTACTGTCCCAGGCGACCAGTTCTCCTGCCCGGTGCATTCCTGGAGTACGGGGGAAGAGGTGGCCGGAGACATTCTGAGGCACAGGTTGGCTCCAGGCAGGCCCCACCCAGCACACCCTTGTGTACCAGGGAAGGAGGGAAGGGGAGGGGCGGGAGACCAGCCCCCGGCACCCACCATGGGGTCCACTCTGGTCATGCTTGGGGTCTGGCTCGTGTTCCACGGTTTCTCCGGGCAGTACCTGTTGGCTCCATCTCTCATTTCTGCCCCTCCATGTGCTGTCACCAGGGGCCTGGCAGATGGCTGGCGGGGCTGGACAGTGGCCATGAAGAACGGAGTCCAGTGGGCAGAGCTAGCAGGCCACGACTACGTGCTGGACCTGGTGTCCGACCTCGAGCTGCTCAGGGACTTCCCGAGACAGAAGTCCTACTTCATCGTGGGTGCAGAAGGGCCCATGGTCGGCAGGGGAGGCCCCAGAGCGTAGGTGGCTACCCGGGCCCTTCACGCAGATGGCCTCTCCTAGCACACGGCTTTTCTCCCAGCTGCTGGTTCGGAGCTGAGTTCTAAACCTAAGCTTTAAGTAACCTCTACACCCACCGTGGGGCTCGTACTCACAACCCCAAGATCAAGAGTCAGATGCTCCACTGTCCCCCAGGGCCCCACCTGTTAAGGGAGAGAGTCACCCATTTCCAGAGCCCAGAGGAGAGCGTGGTGGTGGTGGGGGGTGACTCTGGGAGGGCCATGATCTCGCAGGAGGTCGGCTGCTCCATAAGCCCCTGCCCTACAGGTTGTTTGGGAACAGCTGGGACTCAGATGAGGACACGCCCACCAGGCCCCAGTCCCAGGGACACGCGCCCAATGTGGCTGACTCCGATGGGTACCGCAGCCACAACGAGGATGGTACAAATGGGGAGACTGGGGCCCAGAGAGGGACAGCGACCCACCCAGGTCAACCAGCAGTGGCCACTGTCTCTGGTAGGGAGGGATCCTGGGGGCTGTGTGGGGTGATCAGCAGGAGAAAAGAGCTTGGCTTTTGTGTCCCCCACCCCCCCAAACAGACTCAGACAGCCTGGGAGAACCATCTGTGCCCCACAAAGGACTGGATGGCTACCTGGACAGCCTCTTCGACCCTGTGCTGTCTTATGGGGACGCGGTAGGGATGTGGGCGGGTGTTTGCAGACCCCTGGGACCACGTGTGCACACCAAGTCACATACCCACAGGGTGGTGCAGGAGCCTCTCACAGCCAGGGTCGGTGGC